AGAATGTTCTGCAAATTTCAGTTCAAAAGAATGTTCCCTTCATAAGATATTGAGTATCCCAAAAACCTGACATTCTCCAATCTTTTCGTAGAACATGAGTGATTTTGGAAATTCAATATCTCAAGAAGGGAACATTCTTTTGAACGGAAATTTGCAGAACATTCTAGTTACAAGTAGGCCTACTTGTGGGCAAAATTTCAGGTCGAAATATCGTGATTAGTGTTTTTGGTAGATACCATGCAATAGGCTAAAACTCCAGTATAATGACTGTAACTTTGGAGGGAAGGTCCATGAACACATAGCCTTTCGGGGTTTTTTATACCTCACCGGGGTCTATCTAATACACATACTCCGAACCTGAAAGTGGCTTGACAGTACAAACCGTTCCATTGTTAGTAAAAGAAACTAGTCAATTAATTACTTCGGTTACTAGTTCAAGCGACATTTTCATACTACACGCCTTCTACACGATATATTTCAACTATTCACTTTTTGGTACAAAATTGAGGATCCCTTTGAGCTCATAAATTTCAAAGTTTATAACAATAAAATAATTTTTCTATAAAAAGTTTAGTCTTCAAATTAATCTGATTTTTTTCTTGAAATCGTAAACGTTCTTCACTATTCGCGCGAACACCAATTTCGACAGATAAATTCGGTTTTCAAACCAGGCTGAGAATTGCTTCTCAATAACTCGCAGAACAAGTCCACCCGCCTAGTCGATTTGGGCATTAAAAATAAAAAAATAAGTCCGACTAACGACTAGTCATATTAATTAACTTCTAATAGTTTTCACCTGATTCATTCAGTTCTACTTTCATCTAGTTTCTACTGTTAGACCAAGCCTAAAATAGATTTCGAGTAGGTTTCGACTAAGCAATTTCCAATTGTTTATAACTAGGCGCTACCTGTTTATCGTAGTCGTTTGATAACGTCTAGTCAGAGAACGACTTGATTGAAAATCTACGCTCACATGACTAGTATTATAGAATGAGAGTCCGTATGGAATGTATAGGTTATCCGGTCTAAAAACAACAGAATGAAAAACTCATTTCGTTACACTCCTGTTTTTTTGGGCTTTTTTCTAACTCTAGTCAAGGCAAAGTGCAGAGCAAAAAGAATAAACTAGAATGAGAATGTCTGATTTTGGTTCTTGTTAAACAATTGAAACATTATCTAGGGATCTCATTTACCTTTAATCATTTCTCCGTTCACTCGTTTTGTATATTGTGCATATTTTTTAACAATATCATCTCGAATTTTATTGTTGATAACTTGCATTATTCTCCAGTCTTGAGTAGCTAGAATAATAAAATAATAGTTAAGCTCATTTTAGAATATATTTATAAACAAATACATATGATACTTTTAGTTTAGATTCAATCTTCTTATCTTTAAAAAACAAGTACAATGTGAAACGCTATATGCGCATGAGATGTGGGTAATGGATGATGCGAAAAAGAGAGAATAAATTCTATTGTGTGTGTAATGCAGTCGCTATGAAATATAATTTGAATTTTTTATTTATTTTCAAAATGCCACTTAGATAAAACATAAAGAAACTCGTACAAATTCAGTACAAAATTGAAAAAAAATCCTCTATACAAGTGAATCATTAGTTGTAGTACAACATCTACTAAGTGAGTAGTGATTATTAAATTACGTCAATAATGCGAATGTGAAGTAGAGAATATTATTGATCATTTATTCATTTTTCAATTTGCATTTGTCTTGTTTTTAGATCACAAACAGTCTTTCTATAAGAAAACTCGTTTATCATTCTGTGTTAACAGATCTATATCGCGTACTTTTCCACTTTGTAGTAAAATAAATAATGACACACTTTTAACTTTCTTTTTCTGAACACCCTTATTTAAGATTCACTTTCTTCTACAGGTGTAGGAAAGGTGTAATCAATTTGTTTTGACAATAAAAATCATTTTAATTTCTAAGTATTCAAAAATATTTCGAAATCAAACAAAAAAGAAGAAAAATGATTCATAATTGTTGAAGACCATCTAAACGTTTTCAAACATTAAAGAGACGAAACTAACGTATTCTCAATTCATCCCGACAGAATGGTCACTATCTTTAAACAGAGTCAGTCATGTGCAAAATAGGCGTAAATAGGGAGTTTACATATTTTAGTTATGATAAGATGATACTTTTTTTACTACATTAAATGATTTTGTTTTAAACAAAATCTATGAAAAATGAATGAAAATCATACACAAATGATTAAACATGAATCAAAAAGTTTTCAATTAACAATTTTAAATATATTCTCTTTAATACTAATCGTATGGTGATTACGCGTTAAAACTAGAATATACTCTTGATGAATAAAAATATTAAATCTTTTTTTTTTTTCATTACCAATTATATTGCTACTTTGAATCAGACTTGGTGGATGATGATATTGCATGATTATAAATACAATAAAATAAACTTTGACGATTTAATTTTCTTCAACTAACTATATGAGTTTACTCGTAAATACGTTTTTCTATCATTATAATTATTTGATCTCAATTGCTAACATGGTACTAAAGTATTCTATGTATACTGTTGTTGTTGTTATTGCTGATAATATATCACGAAAAAAAAAAATGAAAGTATGCGTGAAATTTCGTATGCTCAAAATCAAAGAAGAAGAAGAAGAAGAAGAAAGAACAGAAAACAAATTTTTTTAGAATTCAAGAAACCAAATAAGTGTCGTTTTTCGATGTGGCACATATACACATAAATTTGGAGTTTTTTTTCCTTCTTCCTTATCTCGTTCTTCTTTCTCTAGAGGTTTATTGCATCATACTTTTAAGTGTGTATAGAGAATGTTTTCTTTTTTAAATTCTTTCCATCATTTTTTTTTTAGATTCTTCAATATATTTTATAAATAAAATAAAAAATGAAAAAAAAAAAAAAAAAGAGAAAAGAAATCTATTGAAAAACGGGTAAGCAAACATAGAAAAATCATCAAGTGTATAAAATAAACTGTTCATACATTAGTCAATGATAATCGTCGTATCCGTTTTTGTACAATTGACATCAGCGAATTGTGATGCCAATATACCTGTGCTGCATGTATGCATATGTAACTGTACACCTTCTTTTTAAAGAAATAGGAAAAAATATTTATAAATATTTCTTCCCTTTTTTTTTTTGAGGAAGAAACTTGAGTATAATATAAAGAAAGAAAGTGAGGAGCATACACTAAACTACGAATGTATAAAGAAGAAATGTGAGTACATCATCAGCAATGAGAAACGACACCAAAGCACATCTCTTCTTTTTTTTTGTACAGTGCCGCACGACAAAGGTAAAACATTCGTCTTATTCTAAATAATGATGAGAAAAAAGATCTTTTAAGGATACAGTAAACAATAAAAAAAAGAATTTATTACTCTTTCTTTTCGTTATACGATATCCGGATGTAAAATGAATAGAAATCTCGCTAAAATAATTGATAAAATTGTACATTCATCATTCTTTAACTATAACGGTAAAACAGACATTTTTACAACGTGAAGTGCAAAAGTTACTTCTATCAATGGTAAAAATAAAAAGAATTAATAATTTCTAAGAGAAGAGACTCGTGTTAAATTAAAGAAAAATTCTGTATTTTGTATTGTGATCTCGTTCTACAAGTGTGTGAGTGTTATTTTCCTAAAAGCTGTTTTAATAAAAAATTACTTTGCTCTCTCGCATAGATAAGACACTAATTATATGTAAACAGATATAATGGTTATTGTTATAAATTTGTTTTGAGAATTGATTAGAGAGAATTGCTATATAAACAAATTTTTAATCAGAAAAGAAAATACTCTCAGATATATATAAAATTCAAGAAGAAGAATACAATTAATCATGAGGAACAATTTTGTTTTGTATGCACGTACTATATACGTATCTGTTTCCAATTTTGAAACTTATCATTGTCTTTTCTTTTCGCTGCCAAGGGTCACTCTGTGAATATCTTATCAACTTTCGTACTTTAGGAAGAAAAATACTAATAAATGAGAAAGTGATTCGTTTCATTAAAAAGACTTATTTTTTTAGATCTCATAATTCTTGAAATCTTTACTATTTTTAACAAATATTCTGTTGTTTTCAAAAAAAATTAGAATACCAAAAAATCAGATGAAATTTTCAGGTACATGAACAAAAGGTCATCGTCGATCAACAAACCAAGAGTGAAGAAAATGAGAGAACTTTCACAGTTATCAACTATTCTTCATACAAACTCATAAATTATATGTGATGTAATTTTAAGAAACCATAAAAAACACTACCAATAAAGAATTGTTCCAAGGTCATTTTTTTCATTTATACACAAACGAAGGTTAAGAAAGGTAAAGGACGAACTACTTTTCCTTTTTGTGTGTGTGTGTGTTTTAAAAACCTTGAATTCTATTTACAACAGAAGAAAAACACAAATATTATAAAGTAAAACAAATTATCAGCAGAAGTCACTTACCACGCCTATCAGTAACATTTGGTGGTTTTGTGGCTGTTACAGCTGCCATTTATTTGAATAATCGATATGCCTTTTGTATTAGACTATTATGATTATTAAATGCAATCAATCGGTTTTCTTTCTTTTCTTTCTCTTTGTGTGTGTGTGTGTGTGTAAGTGTTTATGTGTACGTTTCGACGTCTACACGCTAAATGCACTTCGAGTTAAATCATAAAACTACAATAGCCTTTCTTTTCCTGTTCCTCTTATTTTAGAATATTATTTCATACATGTATACATATTTTTTCTTCTTCTCTGTTTCGTCTGAACTCACAAAAAAAGATTTTATTATTATTATTACGCCATAGTATAGGTAGAAATGGCATGTGTGTGTGTGTGGTGTGTGTGTATATTCTATTTTTATATTACGGTTCGAAGATGCATCTATATATTTAAATGAAATATGATGTTAGTGGTATTTAGAAAATTTTGACAAATACTCATAATTTATGTGAAATGGATCAGTGGTGTCTGATGAGCAGCATCACTATTACTATACGAATACTACTGTTTAGTCACGGTATCATACTATTCTTCATTCTCTTCTTATTCTTTCTATGCATCATATTTCATGACAAATGTGTGAGTGCACGCGTTAATATGCTCCTGAATTTTATTAGAAAGAATGGAAAGAATATTTTTTTGTTGAGGATTTTCGCATTAACAAAGATACATGGAACAATTTTCTTTCTTTTTTTTTCATACATTTATTCCGTTACCTTTCGGCTACACAATAGCGAAAACCGCGCGTCCCCATATCTCGTTTCGTTCAATCGTTATTTTAAAAATACCCGTGACCATTCTATTTTGCTACGGATAGTAGCAACTAGTTGATAAAGAGGACAAGGTGGAATCAATCATACGGGGAGGAAACGTTTTTCTTTTCACATTGATCGTAGAATGACAATAATAGAGAAGAGACTACATTTTCTGAAAAAACTATCATATCAGTTTTGATCCAAGATCGGTATGCACGTTTTTTCTGTTCATGTCTATAGAAAAAATGTGTCGATTTTGAAAAAAATTCTTTATTTTGTAATGTATCCAAGAACATGTATGTCTAGCTGATACAGATTTGCAGTACTAATCTAGTCTATTATTATTTGTTTAAGAGCAAAATATTTATCATGTGTGTCATTTTATAATTATGTTTTAAAAAAAGAGTAGAAGGGATCCAGAAGATTATACCACTGATAAAAAAACAAACAGAAAATGTACAAATTCGCACGATTCATAGAAAAAGCAGCAGCACCATAAACGAAACCCAACAAATAAGCGCAACAAAAAATGAGATAATTTCTATACAATATTCGTCTTATAGATAATTGAAAACAAGAAAAATATGGATGATTCTATTTCACCGAGTATGGAAATGAAGTATAAAAAAAAAAGAGAAGTAAAGAACAAAAAATAGGCTTTAACAAAACGACGACGGCTTTCATTTCAGTTTTTACATTTCAGATCTGATGGGTGTTCAATATCTGATTATCAAGTAAGACACTGAGAAAACACAAAAGATCTATTTCAGATTTTTTGAGAGATATAAGCAGCAGCATCTGACAAACAGCAACATTTTTAGACAGAAATAAAGAGGGAGAGAGAGAGAAAGAGAGAGTGAGAAGACCAACATCCCATTTTAACTATCATTAATATAAGCAAAACAGGAAAAACAAGAGTGTTAATCGAACACAAACAAACAAAATGACTAAGCTTATTTTTTGGAAAATATTTTGTCAATATTTTTCTATTTTATCAATGTACTTGTGCATTAAAAAAAAGCTTAGGATCTTTAGACTATATAATGGGATAAAAGAGTAAGAAAGAAGAGTTTTTTCTTCTTTCTTTTGTTTTTTTTTCGTGATGATGAATAATAAAAAAATAAAAAAAAAATTTTTTCAAGACAAAAATAAGATCGTAATAGAAACAAAGAATAATACAAAATCGAAACGATGAACAAAGAAAGCGATGACCATACTGCTACCACTACGATTTGCATTTAACGATAGTTTTCATAAGACAGCATTAACAGTTCTCGTGCATATCCGTCACTGATGAATTGCTTAAATTCTAAAAATAAAAAAATGAGATAGATATGGTTTGTCAACATATCTTTACCAAAGTATGCTTCTTTCGTATCACACGATGTTATTTTATATAGTATTCAAATGAAAATGATGACATATAACGTGTAAGAATCCTAGTTATCGATTTGTTCTACTCATCATTAAGAATTCATTAGTGAAAATGAGGATATGAATAATTGATTTCTTGTATGAATTGTTTTTTTTTGCAATCTAGTTCCAATTTGGATAAATTAAAATTTAAAAAATAGATGGTCAAAAAAAGAATAACAGGCGTTTGTGTTGAGAGAGTTAAGCCAATTAGATTATGATGTTCTTAAAACTCATAGTTGCAATCACTTAATCTTTTTGTTGTTAACTATCGATAACTAGTTCGCTGATAATTTTTTTGTTCAGTGATAATCATGTGAGCTTACCTTGATAACTTAATTTTCCAGTTCTCGATATTCTATTCATTATGTCTTGTATTTTGTACTTTGACTCTGATCGTCCGACAACTACTAATAAACGTTCAATTTCTTGTTGATTTAAGTAGCCGTCTCGATCAGAATCTAATTTTTCAAATGTTTGCCGTAATGAATACTCATTAAATTGACCAGTGATGATTGGTGCAAGTAATTCACAAAATTGTTCAAATGAGATTGATCCTAAATCTGTAAATATCAATACATAAACATAATGTGAGTAATATGAGAAAAGTTGTCAAAAAGCGAACACATACGTGGTATTTGACTTTTTGTGTATTCAAACGTATCTTTACTTATTTCTAAGCGAAAATGTTTATCACGTTGAAGGGCAGACGGTGATGGTTGACGTTGTTGGTTTGCGCTCTTCTTTAAACGATCGCCACGTTCAAACCATTCGTACATAACTAAGAAACAAAACGAGAACCGATCATTAGGTGATAATAATATGAGCTATGCGCCTTAATCGATTGATACCTAGGAAAATATAACTAAGAGCGTCTTATTTTTGCCCGCTTTTCCTAGTTGAAATTTCTGGCAAAACTCCCCCAAAAGTCTTGACACGAGATCCTGTAGAGAGTTAGATATAACTTTTAAGGGACTCCGCAGGACTCCTGTGGGACTAGAGAGTGTTCAAAGTCCCGCGGAACTTATGCGGAGTCCCTTAAAAGTTCCATCTAACTCCCTGCGGGATCTCGTGACAGGAGTCCTGAGAGAGTTTCAACTGGGGTTCTGCTATCACTCAAACGTCAGAAACAGCATGTAATCAGCTACGTGAACGTTCACTTACAATGGAACGGTTTGTACTGTCAAGCCGCTTTCAAGTTCGGAGCATGTGTGTTAGATAGACCCCGGTGAGGTATAAAAAACCCCAAAAGGCTATGTGCTGATGGGCCTTCCCTCCAGAGTTACAGTCATTATACTGGAGTTTTAGCCTATTGCATGGTATCTACCAAAAACACTAATCACGATATTTCGACCTGAAATTTTGCCCACAAGTAGGCCTACTTGTAACTAGAATGTTCT